CCTTATTTGAATTAGTTTGTCCTTAAATTATCTTACCTCGCGAAGAGATGAATTCATACTCAAACGTACCAGATTTAATTTTTATTATTCACTAGATAAACACATCATTTAATCAGAATTGTTATGGATTGTAACCTCTAAAACATTCTTTAAAGATGTACTAATTTGAAGAGAGTAATTAATACAAACAAACTCCTATATTTATATAGTATAATCCATGTTATGAAATGTACACTCTAATTGAGGCCTTGCATGGCTAGAGTATCAGCAAGTGAGTTTGATTCTCGGCTTTTGTAATCTATTGAAAGACCATTCCATCTTGTTCGAATAGCTTTACTATAGGACAACGTTACACGCACCTTTCCAAATAATACATGTGATGATTGTCACACATTATTATAAGAGCCCGTTCATATCTACTTAATTTCAATTCAGTTTAGTTCATTTCAGCTCCTATCAGTTCAGCTCCTAATTTCCCTCTCTCATAAAATATTCATTTCAGCTTAGTTCAGTTCAATTTAGCTCAGTTCCAATCAGTTTAGTTCAATAAATGTGAACAGGCCCTAAGAATATATAAGGCTAATGGACGGCTTATGTTATTACAATGTGGTTTTAAGGTAAAAATTTACAGGCCTTATCAAGCGGAATTTTCCTTATTGATGATAGGTATAGTTTAAACCTGTTTTCAATAAACAAAAACTGTAATAATACACCGTAGTAAAATTAGAGACCTTAAACAGTTAAAGCTTGCTTTCTTCAAAAACCCTAAATTTCAGTTAAAATATCAAATAAAAAAAAAAATCGAAATTACGCGTGCGATTGGATAAGGAAAAATGTATGTACATAAAACATTATTGTAGGCTCAAAATAGTTGGTGAGCTCCACACAAGTCCAAGTAGAATGGGCCAGTTTGGCTTATATTGTTGTTTTGCATGCTTGTGAGTTGTGACTGAGATTGAAATACAAGTAATAATGATCCATCCATCTATCTAGGCTTGTTTCATTAAATTCACTACTCGTAGTTGGTTTTGATTGATTGTTAATTTTATCATCATCTTCTTCTCCAGTATCACTAATACAATCTATTGTGGGGTTTTGTGTGGGACCCTTCAAAGTGCATTCATTTTTTAAATCTAACTTCATATACCAATATTACATACTGTAGTCAACATCCATCTCAAATTGCCAACCACTAATGCAATTTTGAGCTACACAAACAATTTTAAAAGAACAAGTACTACAGCATACAGTATATAGGAAAAAGGGACCACTTATTACTCCATCTGTCCCTATTTTTTTTTCTTTTATCCTATTTGACTTTGTATAGTCTCAAGACGGACGTGTTTTAGGGCCTGTTTTCACAGACTGAACTCAGCTGAATTAAACTGAACTGAAATGAATATTTTATAAAAGAAGGAAATTAGGAGCTGAACTGAACTGAACTGAAAATAAACGTATGAGAACAGGCCCAGAATGTCTATATTTTTATTTCGATATTTGTAAAAATTATAAAAACATGATATTAATAAAATGTATAATGAGACGAATCGAATAAACTTTCACATGACTATATTATCTTTTATAAACTAACGATAATGTATGGTCAAAGATTTCTAAGTTTGACTCAAAAAATGCAATGGGGCAAAAATAAAGGAACGAAGAGACTCAAGAGAGTAGTCCATAACTTTTTATACTACTACAAAGTTTGAGATCAAACCCCACTAAAGTTATTCCATTTCTAAAGCACCTAATCCGCTAATCTAAAACCTGTGAGAGGTTCCGACTTTGAAATAAACGTATTTTTTTTTTTTTAATATACTTCCAATAATTTGACTAATATATTTGTCATCAATAAAATGCCCATTTTTTCAATAAATAGTAAAACCTTGTAAATATTAAGGGTATATATTTTTTAAAGCAAATATTAAGAACATATTAATACGAAGTACATAAGGTGGGAGACATAATTACAAACGAAGTAAGTGTTAAGAATTTTAGATACTTTAGAGAAACTTGATATTTGTATCTAGGGTTTTGCTTGTAATTTTTAGAAGTCCCTAGATTGATCATTATTGGAGCTAAAAAATACAAATAGTTTTACAGCTTTGCTTGTGAAAAAATTAAAAAAAAAAAAAAAATCTCAGATGGGAGATTGATAATTTATAAAATATAAATTTTGAGCTAGTAACTAACCATCTGGCACAATTTTTCCTAAAAAAAAAAAAGAAAAAAAAGGCACAATTTAGCTACAAAGAGAATTAGTTAGAAATTTATATGGTATAAAAACTACTCCGTAATTTGTATGTGGCATGAAAAATTAATTTGACAGTTAAATTGCCGTTGGAGATGCTCTAAATTACTTCATAATTATTTTAAGCCTACCGTTTCAAAGTCATTACAAGGTGTTTAGATGTTTGGTCTGAATTTGTGTACACGAATACCAGACTCTAGTAGATAATATTGGTGGTTTAATTTATAATTCGATATTGGATAAGTTTTCCATGTCTTGAGATCATTAATTTATTGGATAATCTATTGATGGGATTTATCTAGTAATACTTGACTTTGGATACAATTTGGCAGTATTTAAATGGTCTCTTGGTTGCATATAGTGCAAGGTATGCTAGCACCTTCGAAATCATTGTCAACCCAATTTGTTAGGAATATAGGAAAATATATTATTCTAATATATTTTTCATATAAATCTTATGATATTATATTTAAGATAATAATATATTTTACTGATATTCTAACATAGATTTATGGAAGTTTATATGATAGAGTTTATATTGTGTAGGTTATCTTTTGTAGGCTATAAATAATAGCCAAGAGCATCAATACAATTCAACTCATTCTCTCATAAATATTTTAGCATGGTATCAAGAGCAGGTTAAATCTTGGGACCGTTCACACTGCTGGTGGGTTAGAATATTAAACCCACCGGTGGGATTCATAAATTTGCTTCCGCTATGAAATAGTATTGCTCTTTGAAATTTCTATTTTTTGATTTAATTTTTTTTTTTTATGGAATAACCATGTGATACGTGGGTTATTATTGGTGTATGTGATCAATATGAATGATCATATGTGATTTGGTTAGGTCGAAGTGTTTGAGTGTGCTTCCTCCATTTTTGCATCTCCATGGAGATGAAGAAAAGCCATGTTTGGCGTTTTTTTTATTCAAAAAAAAAAAAAATTGCAAAAGACCACGGACACCAGCGAAGGGCCTGGCAAAAGAAGATCACGGACACTAGCAAAGGGCCGTGGCAAAGAAGATTACGGACACCAGCAAAGGGCCGTGACAGAAGACCATGGACACCAGCAAAGGGCCGTGGTAGCAAAAGTTCATTTTTTTAAAAATAAAAAAAAATAAAATTTGAAGGCAACATCAACAAAGAGGTGCAACTCGATCGACTTCAACAAAGTGCGAATTTCCAATCGTAACGTTCGTGTTACTGCCGTTACGATTGCGGGAGGGTGTTAGGAATATAGGAAAATATATTATTGTGATATATTTTCCATATAGATCTTATGATATTATATTTAGGATAATAATATATCTTACTGATATTCTAAGATAGATTTATGGAAGTTTATATGATAGAGTTTATATTGTGTAGGTTATCTTTTGTAGGCTATAAATAATAGCCAAGAGTATCAATACAATTCAACTCATTCTCTCATAAATATTTTAGCACAATTCCCTTGTTGATCTGATAAGGGGTGAATTACAGCACAATACTAATTGAATAAAAACTTAAGAGCAATCTAACAATTACGGAGTAATAAACTATCTATACTTAGTATTTAAAAATACAAACCATAATTTTTCATATGACACATGTCATCACAAGTCACTCACTACCACATATGACACATGTCACCCCTTATGATATTTTTTGTTTAAGTCTTTATAGTTTATACATTCTATAACTTGCAAATTAAATTAAGAAAATGAAGTGTTTCATTTCCATCATAATAAAATAAAGTTGAACCAATTAATATACATCACATAAACATATGAATTGAATTATATAAAAATTGTCTTTTCAACTAATATAACTTAAACCAATATGTCATTTCATATCCTACAATTTTCATGTATATATACGTATCTAAATTCCTTTATTTTTTCCACAGTTCTACCCTCATTTTTTTTTCCTTTTAAGTTTTAGCAATGAAACAATTACGTACTTCGTATTTCCTATCAAAAGTTTCAACTATTGAAAAACATACCTACATATGAAATAATCTAGAAAAGAGCTCGTGCATCGAACGGGCTAAAACGCTAGTTATTATTAAAACACGTACGGGAGGGAAACACTCGTATAAGTTATTTTCTTATAACTTTATTGAATATTACAAAGTTAAGTTACTATATACGTAGTATAAGTTATTTTCTTAATAATTTTTATTGAATATTACAGAGTAAAGTAACTAATAGTTAACCATATAGCCTCGAAAATTCTATCTGGAATCATCTGGTCAAGGTCAGCAGGAACCATGTCTTACACAACTTGCTATATCTGTTACTAACACACCAGAATACTCAATTATTACATACAGTACTTACCAATAAGCTTGATGTTCCTGAGATTTTGAGGTCAAATGACTTGAAATTCAGCACCAAAATCATCAGCTCAAAAAACAGATTGATAGAGTATAAAACATATTCTTGGGCCTCAACCATCAGCTTAAACTTTTGGTTGAGTTGGTCCTAACATGGTATCAGAGCCAACGTGACATAAAGGTCACAGGTTCGAATCTCATCCACCCCCCCACTTTCAAGTGGAATATTAAGCGTTGGGTATGAGGAGGACCCATGCTGCATCCACACTTCTAGCCCAAACGGGCTCTCGTGTGAGGGGGCGTGATAGAGTATAAAACATATTCCTAGGCATGTAATGTTTCAACAATTTCACTAGATATTAAACAGCAGAACACCTTAGCATATCGATCACTTGTCAACAATTTCACTAGATATTAAAGAGAGGTACGAGTATATATAATTTCGAGCTTTATTTTCTCAAGAATACAATTCAAATACAATCAATTTCTTTTACAAATGTTGTCATAGAGAAGAAGAAATGAAAGAATTAATATTGTGAAAAACAAATACGATCCTACTCTCATGAGGGTACAGCATATATTCGTACTCTCAAATCAATCAAAACATTCCGTATAAATGAAAATACCAACACAATTTTAGTCCTGCCATAATAACAAGGCTTCAGCAGATCCTTGCTTCTATATCAATAAATGCCGTTAGAGGTGATCAAGCTTAACTCAACCAGCTCGCCCTGATGTCCCAAGCTAAGCCACAACAGGCCGACTTTTTTGGACTAAGGCCTTGGTCCATCATCACCTGATGATTTACGTCCATACACTGTCAGTCCTCTGCCTGAAATCAAGCTGTTCGCATTAGTACTGCAAGACGATCTTTCATGTTGCTGTACTATTTTTACACTTAGCAGGCTTGCAGCTATTCTTACTTCAATGCTAATGCTACTTCTAAAACACCATTACACTTGACATTTCCAAGGATTTTCAGAGCCAGAATATCAAATAAGTAACAAAATTTATTCTTGTTCTCTGACACAGCCACCAGGAAGCAGAAACTTGTATTTATCAGTGTTTTCAATCAGATAGGCAGGAAGGTGAACCGCAGAAGAAGAACGTGGAATCGATCCCATCTTCTTGATTAGCTCCTTGAAGTTGTACTCTTCAGGAAGCATGTCAAAGAGGTTGTCTCCTTTACAAATGAGTTTCTGAATTCTTCTATGATCTAAAAACTCTTTCTTCTTAACACGATCAGCATGGCTATAAGCTGTCATCTTAAACACAAAATCCTGGAGGTACCTAAAGCAGAAGCTACAATGCCAACCGGCATCTGAAAGAATAATATTAGACATCCGGGAATGCCTGTAATGTGTTAATGGACCGTAGATGTGGGCTGAAGCCCGCCAGTTACTGTAGTCCACTGGGAACTCGAATGAGTACATGTAGTGCTTCAGCTCGAGGTGTAATACAGGTGGGATCTCATCACACCATTGAAGGAGTTTTATGGTGTGTGGGCTAGGAATTTCATCTGCATCTGACATAACAAGGATGTCACCAAACTGAATACCTGCCTGTCGAATTAAGCGATTCATAGCCATCCGATGCTCACTCTCAAGCTTGAAGGGGTTTTTGTGGGACTCTGGGCTTCTAATATGCCCTGGCAAAAAACCATAGGCAATCTGACTCTCGGCAAAGGCAAAACGAGCACGATTTGAAGCAAAGTACAGAGGCTTACGGATGCCAGTGAAGGTTGTGTTGGATTCCATGAGTACAAATTTAGTTACATAGGGCTTGAGCTCGTGCCACCTAATCTCAACCAAGTCCAGCTCGTTGCTAAAGATGATAGCATCAAATACACGTCGAGGTTCAGAGCGGACTGACCATCCATGAAGGTGACATAAATGATCCATAGAAACATTTTCTGCATAGAAGTGAGGGATACGAGAAAATGGTGGAGGTGGTTTGTCCCAAAGAGGACGGAAAAAATAGGCGATTTTCTGGCAATTGGTAAAAATTCCAACCAAACAAGTGGATAAAAAGAGGGCAAGGATGAGTATGATAAAAACAAATTTAGGTGAAGATCGCCTAGAAAGGCGTAGAGGTTGAAGGGGCATTATTTACTGAGAGGAAAGCTAGAGGTTGAAGCAGGTTCCATAGTTCTTTGCACTTATATTTGTGCCTTTGTGTATCGCTCTCATCTGCATAGAATACAGCAGAAGATCAGTCATTAAATTTGATCTATTGCACTTGGAAGAAAATTTTCAGACAGCTTTGGCATAAAAAGGGAAAAGAAAACACTCTTACCTCCATTAACAAGCAATCTGGTCACTTTCCCATTGCTGGAAGCTATCCAGTCAATCCATCAGCAGTCAATGGTAAACGCATCACTGATAATGCTTGTTCTCCGATTGTGGCAAACCAAAGAAAAAAATTTACCCCAAATGTATGCAGCTCATGTCTGATGACCTATAAAACAGACATAGTAACTTCATCAACTTCTTATGCTGAGGCCTGAGGACATTTTGTCAAGAAGAAAATTATGCTGCCAATTTACTGAAGACAATTTATGACATTCGCACATGGGTATAAGGAAATTTTTCGTAAAGTAGCCGAATTTGATACCTAGGAACGCACCCAGTTACGAGCCCTCAAGTTCATGTAACATAGTCTAGGATGCAAAACAAGAAGGTGCTTAAAGCTTTTACCATCAACTCCTTTGATGGGCTAACATAAGGGGAGTGAGGCAAATAATAGAGGACTGCTCCTGGAAAGTGTGTCTGCAGTTTGGAGATGCACCAAACTAAAAATGAGCACTTTTCAAGATACACCAACCAACAAATTGGGATATCATAGCTTCCTGAATAAAGTATGCTGGTGTCAGCCACCTTCAAATAATTAACCCTCGAGGCTTTGATAAGAGGAATGGCACCAAAGATCCAAATCAAGTGAAACCATAGGAAATTTAGGTCTCTTGAAGCCTCAATGTAGCATTCAGAGCCGAAAGACTTTAAACATGTGCAATCACATATGAGTTCATCAAGTAAAATTGGAAATAGGACTTTTGAAGAGTTGGGTTTTAGACTATGTATTATACTCCATATATACAAATCTTTGAGAATTATTCTCTTAAATAGAACGTTGTCAGCTGCCTGGCTATTCTTCTTGCACTTAATTTGCATTGTACAGAAGTAGAAGCACCAGCTGATTATTGTGACCTATCTAACAGTAAGTGTTCATCTCCCCTACCTCTAAAAAGCAAAGATTATAACTTGCAACTATAAACCAAAGACTTTAAGGCATTTATGCAAAATATCCTGCATCTATTCACTTGCTAGTTGCTAATATTGCCATCTATCAGCAACTCATAATGTAGATCCCAAAAAAAAAAAAAAACAGTAACATCTCCCTCAAAAACAACTAGAAACTCAGATACTGCCTTTGTAAATGCTAGATGGTACAACTACTACTCCATACTCAATAAGGAGATTCACATAGTGTGAATTTAATGTTACAAAGTTGGAAATTTAAAGTGAGCACATCATTAATGACATGATATGCCAAAGAGGGGAAACTCCAAGTTGATAACTGTGACAACGGAGTCTATCCTAATATCCCATACTGCCTCCCATAAACTGAAAATCCAACCCAAAATTCCCCCCTTACCAATCCCAAGATAAGCAAAACAACCCGAAAATGCCCCTCTACACGCCCACAAAACCCTATACGTCCCCAAAATGCCTCCCTACATGTCCCCATGATACTGTAAACCCCTAAAATGCCACCGAAATGCCTCCCTATATAACTCTCCTGTTAGAAATTCCGGCCCAGTAGGGCCCTTCTCCTTACCTAACAATGCAAAAAAAAAAAAGTCCCCGATATACCGTAAACCCCTAAAATGCCCCCTACACATCCCAAGATACCCTATACGTCCCAAAATGCCTCCCTACAAGTCCCCAAGACACCTTAAGCAACCCTAAAATGCTCCCATACATGTCCCCAAGGTACCCTATAGTTTTATACATCCCCAAAATGCTTCATTCAATTCCCCAAGATACCCAAAACGACCCGAAAAGGCGAAAATGCCCCCTACAAGTCCCCAAGATACTGCGCCCGTAACATGCATTTAAACATACCACATTCATAAACTAATATCAGACTATCAGCTGCTTTCTTGCTAGGATTTAGACCTACCTGAGAGCCTGACATAACTAATCATCCAATTGCCCTGAACTTCGATACAATCAATGACCTAAACCAAACTCAAACTTCCCATATTTGGAATCCATTAAAGTTCAGCAAAAACCCATACAATTCCAATAAGTTTGCTCATTTCTGAAGCTAGGAATCATCCTTAAACCTTCCTATTTTTTAAGTAACCTTAGTAAGTACGGAGTATCTCATACTTCGTTAAAAACAGGGGAAAAAACTATTTTTTTTTCCTTCTGAATTTGATTTTCCTAATTAAAGAGCATATTATACAAATCTTTGATCAAATTTGTACAAAAGTTAGCTCAGGCGACCCCCAAACACAAGAAATAACTAAATAAGCTCAAAGATTCAATCTTTCTAATTTAACCCAGTAAAGAGGTTAAATTTCAGCAAGATTATGAAATTAATAATTCATCAAGATTTGCATTTATAACATCAAATAATACAAATTCAAGCGGCAAAATTAAATAATAATAAAAAAAAAAAAAACCCATAACATTTAAATCCATAATTTTTATTTTTAATTGAAAGTCAACTTTCTATATTTGAATTACAATATCAATAAATAAATAAATAACATTAAGTTGCATAAATAAAAGAAAATAAATAATTTACCTGGTAGTATTATTAAAAAAAAATGGAAATAATTAGCTGGAGATTTGCCCAGGTAGAGGGGAAATGAGGAGAGAGAAAATGGGAGCAGCTTAATAATGGTGAACAAGTCAGATTAATTTCTTGTTTGTTCTTTTCTTCGTCAATCTTCTATCAAAATTAAACCTTAACTATGTTGCACGTGGCACGTTATTAGAGAATGAGTTCTTTCATGGTACGAATTATGTTTGAATATGCTTATTTGTAGATTATTAAGCTTAATTTAGGGTGCTACTTTTTTTTTGTTCATCTCAATTTTGGTATAAAAAGAATAAAATGATTAATGCTAATAAAAGTGATACTCATTCGCTTATTTTTATATTACGTTATTACGTTACGGTTTTATAAGATTTACTTTGTATTTCTTTGTACTATAATTTAATTTATTGAGATTATATGAGTATAGATTCATCTTGTAGCTACAGTATCATTGCCGAGCATTGATTTTCAAATTGTAACGAGCTTAAATATATATTATTGATCCATCTAGACAATGCATTGACACATATAGTTAGTTATAACTTATTAGACTCCTAATCGTCATTAAACGAACAATATGCAATGGAACATGATATCTTATCTAGATTAAGATTTATTGTGTGTCTATGCAATATGCATTCCAAATATTAAAATACGTAGTATGACTTATTGTGATAGGTTTTGTCTAAAATTTTGTTTAGAAGGTGCAAGTCACGGGCAAAGTGAAATTGTTTTGACACTAATTTATGTTTGAAATATAGACTAATAAAGCCATCTTTATAAGGTTAGAAGTCACCACTAAATTAGTATTTGTGTTCATGTCAAAGATCAGGCCCAAGAAGCCTATCAGCCCATATACAAATATCGGCCCAAGAAGCCCACATCCTAACTGAATCAATTTATGGGCCTTTGTAAGTTGTGAAACAATTTTTTTTTAAGTGTGCATACATGATACATGTAAAAAAAATAGAAATATATATAAAAAAATTAAAAAAATTAAAAAATAAAATTAAAAAAATTAAAAAGAGAAAAAGAAAGAAAGAAAATAGATGTAACAAGTAAATGATACTTTGTATTAACGATATTTGATCTCGAGTCACATCATTAATTTATGTAAAATTTTGTTGACGTTTATAGAAAGTGAATATATTTTTGTTGTAATATTCTAGAGAAAACGAGATTAAAGGTCCTTATTAAAAATCTTTAAAAAAAAACCTACTTAATTTATAGTTTCGTTAAAGGATAAGAGCCCCTCCAATGCAAAATCGAAAACGCAACAAAACTAAAAGAATTGACAATTAATTAAAGTTAAACACGTAATCTCAAGGTAATTACTAGTACTAATAGTCTAATAACATGAGTACTATGTTAAACATTAGTACTCAATTACCAATTGAACAAAGTGAATTTTTTTTACTGCCACAAAATTCAAGCCTCCAATGCTGAAGAAAGTTTGATCTCATCAACATAGAATTTATTCCTCACCAACTGACAAGAGTTAGTTCATCTTTCTTATCAACATATAATTTGATATCGTCAACATAAAGTTTGAGTTTTTTTTTTACAAATTCGAGTTGAAATATCATATCCATCCTTCTCTCTTCAAAACTTTTAACATCATATCATGTCACGAATTAGTCGGACAGGTTGAAAGACTAATACAATGTACAAAAATATTTAGACTTTTAAATTTAGAATATTAGCATTTACGGATTAAGGATTTGTTATGTTCAGCTTAATTTCAGTTCAATTCGTTTCAACTCCAATTAATTCAATTCAGGTCAGTTCAGTTTCTAATTTCCTTTTCTCATAAACAGTTCATTTTAGCTCAGTTTAATTCAGCCCTAATCAGTTGAATTCAGTTAAGTTATTTTCAGTTATCGGAACAGACCATATTAATATTTATAACGACCAAACATAGGGATTTGAAAGTCTAATTTAAGGTGCGTTGTTTCTCGTTTTCGGATTAACTTATTAGACTTGTTTGTTTTGATTAACCTAGTGTTTGCACTTAATTAATTGAGCTTCATTTTTATTTATTTTTTATAAAGTGAAGAGAATGTACCCTTCGTCCCTTAGTGATAATTTACGGGATTGAACAAAAAGAAAAAATTCAACTGATATTGTCCAATTATGTGATGTTTCATGTTCAGCCAGCTTTATGGCGGCCCGATATTGAATAGCAAATACATGTTGCAGACCAACATATTCGTATTAAAATCATGTCTTCTACAATTACAATTTTACATGAGAATGTTAGAGCCCCTCTCAATTCTGGATGATCTTAGGAACGATTCTGATCACCTCTTGTGGCTCTCAAAAGAAAGAAAAATAAAATATAATGCAATTGTTTTGGGTGTTTTGCAACTATAAATTAAAGTCACATGGCCACCAATTGATAAATAAATGAATTCATTGATCATAAAATTATACAATTATTATTTATAACTTGATTTTAGGAAAATAGTAGGCAATCTCAAACTCTCAATAACACTAATAAGCAAAATTATGATGCTAATTCGAGTGATTACATTTACACCCAAAAGACAAAAGATAACATTAAGTTGTTTAACTATATTACAATGCAATCGTTTAGAGTAAGATAACAACCACATTATGAAGTTCAAAATTACTCCAAACAATTGCTTGAGTAAACTACTAAATAACATAATTACTCTATATATTTCACCATGATGATGTTCTTCTACTAAGATCATTCATCCCCTCTCCTAAGCTTGAGTCGTTGGACTGATTCAATGAACGTCCTGTAGAATAAAAAATGATTTTTACATTAGAACTCATTGCTCTAATAACGCGACAAATTTACAAGATTAAGGAATTTAAATTTTGACATAATCCGTTTTCACACACAAAAAAGGCATTTAATATCCCTAAAATACCCGAAGACTTTTACATAAGAAGGTAAATAAAGGTAGAATAGTACAATACTCCGTATATAGTAATTATTTCACAAAGTTACTACACTTCGTATCTATAGATTCATCAGTATTGTACGTATAACTCCTGTAAATAATTAAAAGACTAGTGACATTAGTGTGTAGTTTTACTTGTTTAAGAGATTACTAAAACAATGTAAAGTTGTACAATATGAGATTATAGTAATCATTGAAATGAGGATTATGTCCATGAACTAACCAACCAAATTCAATCATACCTAGGCTCTTTGATAGGGTGCAATGAACAGATACAATGCATAGACATATCAGGAGTATTCATTCATTTTCTTTTCTAATTTCAGCAACCTTATTAAAATGGAGTGATCATTTGTGCGATTTTATAATATTTTATTTTTTATTAATCATTCATATGGACACACATCTTAGCTTAACTATTTTGATTGTACGTGTGCATTTTTTATTCGTTTTCCGTTCATGATTCTCACATGTATGTATAACGTATTTATCTTAGTTGAGATTATACTATTAACGTGATCATTACTCTTGTTATAAAATCGAGTGATCAATCAATTAAATAATGGATTTGAAAAAATATACCTCCATGGTACATCTCCAGCAAGAAGCCAATCACCATCCACATCTTGGTAAGTAAGCTTGTAATTGTCCATATTATCCTGCCCTGATTTGGGAAAAAAAAACAAAGACAAATTAATAAATTAATCCAATATTTTTCTTAATTAAAATTATTTAATTTATTAGGTACACTAGATAAAACATGTGAAAAAAATGTTTTCTAAAAACAATTTTTTTTACCTTTGCCAAACATGGTAAGCAAGCTACAAAGGAGAGCATCATAAGATTGGTAAAGCTTCAAATCAATCTTCCTTGTAATGAAAAACCCTTCCATTTGCACCTTAACAAACATCGACCGTGATCCGCCACAACCACCGCCTCTTCCACGGTTCTCCATAGCCGGAATATTCCCTCCATGGCGGCGTTGTTCGAGGTGAACACTCTTTCTATAAGCCTTGATTGGTGGCCACCCCACAATGCAATCACCTTCATTTCTACAAAAAATTTCCAATACCCATTAGTCAAAATACCATAAAAATTGTTCTATTATCAATACACCTAAAAATGTCACAATTTTTTAGCATTAAAATCAATGTTGTATTGTTTAACTAATGGTCGATTCAACTAACTGTCAGACTGTCTGATACAAGAATTTACGCAAACCAATAAATTATTGACAAAGTCATCCAAAACCCACATGTTAAATTTCACATACATAAAAAATAAAAAAAATAAATAAAAAATAATAGGTGTACTTACTTGTTAATGGTGAAAGAAGTGGAAAGCCTTTTAGGTAGTTGATGATCATCTTCATTAGGGTGTTTATCCCAAAGCAAAAGAGGCAAAGTTTCAGGCATTGAAACAATTAAACTTTCCACTTCATTAATTTCTCCAAACCCTCTTTTTTTCTTCATTATTTGGAAAAACCCATCATTAATTTCCTCTTCTTTTTCTTCTTCTTCTCCATAATTATCATCATTAACACTACTTTGGCAAGAGAAAGAACTTGAATTAGAATTATCCTCTTCATAAACATGCTTACCCTTGCAATTAACATAGCTAATTAAATCCAATTCTTTCAAAATTGGGATTTTTGGAGGAGCATTTGACAAAGTAAGACCCAATTCAAGCTCCATTTTTTGTGATTAATCCTCTAATCAAAGATAAACCCAGATGTTAAAATTGCTCAAATTTGTCAAAGATCTAATCTTTTCAACTTTTTTCAATCCAATTTACCAACTTTGGGATTGTACTCTGTTTGGGTTACTCTGTTTTTATGTGGGTGTATATATATAAAGGAATTGGAGGAGAAAGAGAGAATATAGCTGACAAAGTGAAATCAAAATTGAAGTGTGGGGACATATAGACAAGAAAATTGAGAAAAATGCAAATAAATAATAATTGAAAAAATAATTAAATTATAAAGAAAAAAAAGAAAAAAAAAAAAAAAGAAAGAGGCAAACAGTTGTTCCAAAGTGTCTGAATCAATGTTGGGCTTTTGGCCGACCCACTTACTAAGCTTGTTCCCTAAACACATCGTTTTGGTGCCGACATTGTCGCTTTCTTCATTAAATTTTGCGCTTTTTCCTTCTCTTTGTTTGACCTTTTAAACATCAAACACTTTCAATATTAGTGCGTGTGGCTTACAAGCTTTAGTCTTTATATGGTAAATGAGAATTTTCTTTTTATTTTTTTGGCAATTATGCTATGAAATGTGTGGGCAAAGATGAGGAAAAAGATTGAATGGGTTACATCCATGGTCCTTACATTGAATTATGGAGGAAATTTTTGTCAAAGTTGAAGAAAAAAAACGCCTTCGTGCAATGCATTTTGTTTCATCCGATAAGTTTCGTGTCTTGTAAATTCCGTGATTGTCGATATAGATGGATCATCGTGCGAATATGGTGCTTGCTTTGGGTCCAGTAAGCGAAGGGAATGAGCTCGGTTACTTTTAGAAATAGTGTAACACGTATCTTTTAAAAACAGTTCTTTAATTATCACTTTAAGTTTTATGATGGTAATTTTCCTTGTTTTGAATGTTTTGAATGATGTAAGTATCTTTCGGAATTTGAATATGAAAAATTAAAGTGATTAATACGACGAATTTCTAAATATTAGTGGTAGCATACATTTATTGCTTATTCATCTAATATCTACACACAACTACTCCTAAAGAAAGAACCTCTAAAAGGAAGATAGTGCTATATATGTGAGCTCCTTTAATACATTTATTAAAAGGAAAATTAATTTGAGGTACATGGGGTTGTTGCAAAATTCTAAATCAATGACCTTAATTTTAGGTAATACTACTTTGGATACCTTAGATTCATACGACAATATTTATTTTTTGTAGGGAAAAGATTCATACAACAGTTTAATTTGGGTATTTTCAACTATTTTCATTTATTTGTTCTGTTCACATGAACTAATGAACTTCATACTGTGGATTTGCAATGTTATTTTTTTTTTCAACTTTTTTTCCTTAAAGTAAACTTAGGGTCTATTCTCTTACGTTGAAATTCAGTTCAACTCAACTCAGTTCAGTTCAGTTCAGTTTAGTTTAGTTCAGTTCAGTTCAGCTCAGCTCCTAATTTCCTTCTTTTATAAAATATTCAGTTCAGTTCAGCTCAGCTCAGTTCAGCTCAGCTGAGCTCAGTTCAGTTCAGCTCAGCTCAGCTCCTAATTTCCTTCTCTTATAAAATATTCAGTTCAGCTCAGTTCAGTTCAGTTCAGCTCAATTCAGTTCAGTTCAGTTCAGTTCAGTCAATGAGAACAGACCCTTAATTCAGTGGCTCATATTTTTCCAAATTGATCCAAGGATATAAACACAATTGATCGAATTACTTAATACTCCGTATTGATAAATAATCATGCATCACATGTCACACCTACACATTAAGAATTTGAATTCTATCTATTGAATAAGATCGAAAATTACCAAAAAAAAATTAAATGACACAATGAATATCATTGAACTTGGCTAAAGTGTTTTTCATCTAAATTAATTAAACAATCAAACATAAAAGTGAATTTGTTCTACATATACATATCCAAATGAAATCACATTAGCTATGAGAATATCCAAAAATAAATAAATAACTAAATAAATAAATAAATAAATAAAAAGGCTATAATACAAGGCCAGGTATTATAAATTTATTACCCTTAATTATATCTATTTTGAATATTAAATAACAAGTTGATGACTTAATGAAGTCTATGTACGATTAAATACAGAAGTATAATCATACATTGGCTTAGTTGATCAATATATACTCCGTATTGTATAAATAATTTATCTATTGATATGTTTTCGAAAAAAAAATTATCTATTGATATAAAACTCAATTTTGAAACAAAATCAGTTTGAAGATTGTCGAAAGTTCTACGCCTTCAATTTGCTCCTTAGTTATAACATAGTAAACATATTATATACCTTTTTATAGTACATATTTTAATCCTAACCATGATCCACCCCACGAAATCAATTTTGTTAGTCTCTGCGGCATGCATGGAGCATACACGCACATGAATTTTGGCGTGGATCAATAAATACTTTTCTTATGTATCATATATTCATCACCGATTACATACTTCCTCAGTATTTTTTAGTTACAATATTATTTATTTTTTATATAATCAGTTACAACATTTAGTCGAGTTTTACATTTGTCAATACATATCTTACATCATTAACACATAGATTATGAATGTTTGAATAAGATGAATTTAATTAACCTAATTTCACATCCATGACATGATATTTTCTAACATACGCATATGGTTCAAAAAAAACATGATACACATTGCTCGGGAGTTGGGATGCATCCCTAGCTACAATCCTAATACTTTTCAACTGGATCGGACCCTGAAACCTGTGAATTGAAATTAGTCCAAAATCATGGATTACAACTTTTAATTTTAGATTTTTTTTTTTAATTAAAATGGAAAGAGGTCAAAGTGTTTTTTCATGGATCCCACGACACCAAGGAGGCCATTTGATAAGTGGTTGAAATCATGTACTTTGCCTTTAAAAAACACAATTAGAGAAGGATGTAAAATATCAAACATTAGATTAAATATAATTAGAGAAATTATATATTAATAAACCTAAGAAAGTTGATAGCACGGTCTATAGTGTAGCGTATAAGATGCATGCATGCAAAGGTATAGTGTTGTCCAAAGATTGAACTATAAAAAACCTCGAGAATTAAAGGTTAGGTTAAGATGAAGAGTAGTGTTTAGATTTTTAAAATAATAGATAGAATTATTTTTGGGTACCACATTACTTGTTTGCATTATAAATCCGAGACATACATGTCGTTCTTGATTTCAGTCCATTTTATTTATATCATTTTTGCAACATTAACTGAACCAACCTCTGTTTTTTGTGTGTTTTTGCCTCGCCATTACACGGTTACACTAATATTCATATATTCCATGCCCCCACCCCTATCATCTTACTGTATAGTACTATTACGGTACAGTAAGACGATTTTACGTTACATATAATTTTAAGATAATCAAGTTACGTCCTTAGTTAGGTCTATAAAAGTATTTATTGTTTAGTGGTATAAAGGGTTGTTCTCTTCAGATTATTTTTAGTTCAGTTTTTAGTTTCCTTCTCTTACAAAATATTCATTTTAGTTCACTTTAACTCAGTTCAGTCAATCAGAACATGCTCTAAATTGTAATATATAAGTCAGTAACAATTTCAAAATCATTAAAATTGATTCCCTTTCCTTCACGATCACTACATCATCGCTGGAGGGGGTAATTCAGCTTTAGGACATGTTCTAATTGACTACACTGAACAGAACAGATCTTAAGTGGCTTAAAATCAATAATGCTCAAGCTACAACCCGACTGAATCGCGAATTTAACCTCTTACTTTTGTTAATGTGATTGCATGTTCGTTGTTGTTTTTGTGCTAAAATGTCATTAAAATGTTACTCTAAAATTCTCCTTAGGATCATTACAAGAATCCGTGCTTTTATCAAAATATATAGTTGATTAAATTGCACTTAGACACGTAGTTAAAATGGTAAAAACACAAGTTTATGAGGTATGTGATTAGGCAAAAAATAAGGAAGATTCCATGTAATTATCCAAATTCATCGTAATAGTAGTCGTACAATACGTTGTTTGTCCTTTTAAAGATGATTCATAGGACTTGAACACCTTTGATTTAAGGGAAAACTTTGATATTTTCCATGCATTGGATTTGAATGACACTTGGTATTTTGATACGAGGAGAGAGAATTTTAGGGAACACAATTTTAGGTCTCGTCATGTTTTGATTAACCAAATAATTCTACTCTACGCAAACCTCTAGATTATTTGTTTTCCTAACATTACGTGCACCATCACTTATCTATTTTACATTTTTACTCCGTTTTTTTTTTAATAACGTTTCTAAATTCATCATTTTTTTTAAAGATGAATTCATCATTTTTTAATCAATAATTCTCTAATCAATCAAAAGATACAGAGTATAGTAATTATATAGATAAATCATATATATGGATGTGAAATTTTTTTTTTCTTCTCACAAACATAGCTTTATTATTCATAAAAGAAGGTTTATAATCAGAATTGACATAGTGCATGACTTTTAAGACGAATTTAACAAAACTCTACATATAACTGTATGTATTTGTAAAAAATTAAGAATAATTCCTCAAATTGTGCATAGTTGTAGCACTCCAAGCAAGAAAATATAAAGGGAAATGACAAAAAAAAGGAGTGTTTTATTTAATTTTTAATTTATCTAGGAATTAGTACTGTTTACTTTTTATTAGCTTTGATTTTTAGTGCATGATTAATTGAATGTGTACATTAAAAATCACATTCGCACGAGTTTATGATGGGTTACTAAACAAAATTATGGAAAAGACAATATGTCACCTAACTCCAAACATGTCTATAATATGTGGATCTTAGGATATAATATTAAAATGAGACTACAAGATTAAGGTAATCCAAAATTTTAATTATTATTTAAAAATTAGTTAAGGTATTTTGAAGGCAAATCATATTTCATGTCGGATAAGGGTTTGGAATTTGGGGCAAATAAGAATTGAAGTCCTATGTTGACTAAATTTCATGTGTAGAAGTAGTTCCAAGATCACATCTGATTACATCACTTACGTCATGTAATTAGATTATTTTTTGATGGCTTTCCAAACTTCTTTCATTTAGATATGATAGATAGATGTTGTAATTGGATCATGGTTTGTTACTTTATAATTAATAAGTTGGAATTTAGTTGGATGACTATGGACGATCTATTATATAAGTACGCCATGTAACGAAAAATGATTAGTATAATAAATTAATAAGACTTTTGATTTATAAAATAATAATACATCCTTAATATTTTTGCAACTATACTATCTTATACACGCATATATATAAGATATACTTCCTCCGTTATTTTATTATTGCATTACTTGCCTTTTTAGGAAGTTTCACAAATATTGCACCATTTCCTCTTTAGGAAAAAAAATTATTTGGGTTCACACCACAAATACCCAACATACCCTTACTTTTTCACACTTACTTTTTAATTTATTAATATGTCACATGGGCAATTTTGAATTTTTACCTTTCTCTCTCTTACTTTTTTCACTACGAAAATATTTATACCCAACCCCTATGGTGCAATAATAAAAAAACGGAGGAAGTATATATTTACTACATAATTAAACTGAAATAAGAATTGTACCTTCCAACCTTAAGGTTAGGGGTTTTGTTAGAGATATAATATCATATCTCTATCAGGTTTAATCCATACTAAAGAGCAGAGACGCTTTGAGGATGAGGATCTCCTATCCCTCACTCTCAAAGTGCCCTAACATGCAAATACTGAATTATAAAAACTGTGAAAATTGAGGTATAATTAAGGCCATTCTCTAAGCTTTTTTTTTTTTTTTTTTGAATAGTCCATTCTTTAAGCTATATGTTAGTTTCATGTGTATTTGTCCTAATTGTTAAAATTGAGTAAATATAATATCGATTTAAAATTAAATTTTGTTTACATCATTATAGATTCAACAAACGCAAAA